ATAAGATATTGTCTATTTCTAAGTGCAAATTGTTCAAAAGGCATAAGATAAATGCAATTGCTAGTGATTTGGTAAGGGAAAAATGATCAAAATCCAGGTATTTTGATTTATTTTTCATTCCTCAGGGTATTTTCTTACTGATATGAAAGATTTACCAGGTGATAGCTTTATATTTACAAAGCATAAATTTATGATGAAATTTTAAGCAAGGAACCTAGAGTTGAAATAGTTGTTAAAAGTATCATTTTAATTCCTCTATTTAGAGTATTCTTAAATATTTCATGAGTTTTATCATATTCAGAATAGCTAACCAGTTCATTTAGTTCTTCTAATTAACACAAAAGGTTCAAAGAGAATGGCATCAGTAATCAGATTCAGGATGCTTTGAATAGCAATAACCTATATGGGCATCCCAGTTCAAAGTCTTGGGGTTCCCAGTAGCCAGAAAATGCTCTGGGATACTGTTACATATTAGGGGAGGGTAGAAATGATTGGGGGTAGATCGTAGTGGTTAAACTTCATATTCTGAAATTAGGCTATACAAGAACAAATCCCAGTTCTGCTGACTTTCCTGCCTGACTTTAAGCAAAGTCTCAGATTCCTCATCAGTAAAATATGCAAAATGACATCAGCTGCTCCATGGAGTTATTATTCAAAGGTAATGAAACACAAAAAGTTAAGTAGTAGGGTTGTACACATGCTCTTTCTAGAGAAACAAAGGTTGCACATTTTGCATCATTTGTGGTAGCTAGAATGTACCTATAACTCTGTATATAAACCCATTGGGCGGTATGCAAGTGGTTACTAATGAGTTAACTGAGCACATTAGACTGTATGGAGAGCTCCAACAGTATATTCTTTTAGAAAGACTAAATCAAATCTCAATAAAATCAACACCAGGAAAGGGATACATGTAAGAGACAAGTATGGAGCCAAGCAGAGACGGGTACATGAGTAAAGGGAGGAAAGGGGGAAAAATGTAGTTAAGACTTCATTGTCTGTACCACAAAATTAAGAAAAGAAAGGGAAGAGGTGAGCTGAAGATGGGTGAACATTTTAAAAGAGGTGTCAATGATCATGATTGTAATCCTAGCTATTCAGGAGGCTGAGATCTAAAGATTGCAGTTGGAAGCCCTCCCAGGCAGAAAATCCATGAGGCTCTTATCTCCAATAAACTACTCAGAAAAAGCCAGAAGTGTTCCTGTAGCCCAAATGGTAGTGCTAGCCTTCAGCACAAAGAGGCTCACAACAGGCCTCAAGCCCTGAGTTCAAGCCCCAGGACTGGCCAAAAAGAAAAAAAAAACAGATGCATTGTATTCATAAACTGCTTTGTTATATTTGTTGTATGGTGCTTCCTTTGTACAACTACTTAAAGATAATTTTTTTAAATCACAGAAAAAGAATAAATGTTCTTCTATTACATGAGTTTACTGATACTTGGATCATTGCTCTTGAAAGTAATATGAATATCTAGGAAACATCCAAATATGTCCTTCTTCCTAGCTATATTTTGGTTCTTTTTTCAAAACCAGCCTGGATGCTCCCAAAGCTTCCTCTATTTATCACTGACCCTAAGAGAGAGGTCAATAGTAAAATCCACAGGATGATTAGCACTGATCTTTTATATAAGGTTTTTCCTCTTTCAGGTTACCTTTTCCTTGCTAGAAGAGGTGACTTTTTACAGTCTAAACCATTGAAAGTAGCTGTGGTACAGAAAGTCATGCCTCTTTTCTGTGTATCCTCCAAGGAAACAATTGGAAGTACACACAGGGCTTGTGTCTTTAACAAGAAATGTACTCATTGCCTTACTCAAATAACTGTAACCCCTCTGTACAGTATCTTTACAATAAAATGAAATGTAATAAGAATGAGGAAGATATATGGCTAATGTTGATTGGGATACTTTGTATATATGTATGGAAATGTCATAACTAAAGCCTCCCTGTATAACTAACATGTGCTAATAAAAAGAAATATAGAAAAAAAAGAAGCTAACAGCTGACTGTTCACCTTTTCCCTGCCTCACCACCTAGCCTTACAATGATGAGCTTCACTTTCAACTAGCAAACACTTGGCAAGTGAACACCAGTATTAATGGTGCTGGATTTAGTAATCAGTGTTTACATCCCTGTTAAAATATTTCAATATTATAATTAGGTGGTCCTGTCTCCTTCATCCAAAAGCTAGATTTATTCCATCTGCAAGCCTTAATTTTCTGACATATTTGAAATTTACATCCAATGTTGGGAGACAACTCCAGAGCCTATATTTAGACAAACTAATCCCATCCTGTTACTTGATTTAACCTTGTAATAATATCAGTGAAAATACTCGGCTAAACTGTTGCTATCTTTGTTCTGGAGATAATCTCTTTATTTTCCCTATAACTCCAAAGAATATGCTAAGATCTGTAAGAGATTACCAGATTCCAACAACGTACAATTCTAAAAACATCTTTCTATGCTAACTAAATATTCAGGCATAAATGCCACAAAGAAAGAGTAAGTGGAATAACAACAACAGAAAAAGAAGTATAATAATGAGTCTGATCCCCCTCAAGAATATAAAGCAGGAAGTAGACAGATAAACACTGAATCAACAAGTCTGGCTCAATTTGCTTTTAATAATAGAACAAAGACAAGGATAATGTCTTTATGATTTTCTCAAATTTATAGCTTATGGGCATCCAAATATTAGTTTATATTGGAATACCTGTCAGTATCCCAGATTGGTTATCATTTGAGCCTTTGAAGTCAAAATGACCTGTGCATTGATTTATAGTAAGTACTTGATAAGCTGGAACTTGAGACAGAAAAAAAATGTAGATAAGATTGCTTTCCTTCATCTGTAGATTCAAGAAATTATTTTTATCTATCATATCTCAGAACAGTACAGAATTAAAAATAGAACCAGGATAAATAGAATTCATATCCTAGCTATACAAATGGACTCAGGATAAGTAGGAAAGACCCTTGATTTCTCTGATTTCCTCAGGAAAAAAAACAAATTCACACAAAAGGAGATGATTTACCTGTACAACATTTGGTAAGCATTTTATTTTCAATATTTATCTCAGTAATTTCTTAAAAATTACATTTATACTTACCACCATGTTGTTATGGGGATATAGCATACAAATTAAAAATCACATACCTAAAAATCTACTTCTCCCCGCCCCCAAAACAAGCTTTTCATGTCTGTGAGACATAATCAGCACAAATGGAAATGTGCGGTAAATGAAAATACACACATAGTTCCAAAGAGAGGACACTTCTTTTCTATGAAATTTTACTAATATTTCATTAACAATTTTTATAGTAGATATTGAACTGAAGGTATTTTGGATAAATTCAAGTAAATACTGAAATTACTGTCACTACTTTCTTTCCTTGTCAAATGCAGTTACTAGAAAATTTGACATCACACATGAAACACTTGTTACACTTCAATTATAATGTACAGCTTGGAGCAGAGCACGTGTCATCAGACTGGAGACACTATTTACATTTTGCACATTCTAGGCAGGTTGGGCATCATCACAATCATAGTAGTAATACTCAATACCTGGAATCAGGCTGCTGTTGTTGTTGTACCATTGCATCAACAAGTCAATTAAAATAAGTCTCTCCTGAAATGTAGCCCAGACAATCCTCTAAGCAGACTCAGTGCAGACATGAGCCACCCAGTGCTCCCAGTACTCATAAGAATGGGAGTCACACTAGTATAGCAGCTCATCTGTTATAGCTTATATTGTACAATGGCAGGAGCTATTCATAAAAAATTAGGAGAGGCAAGCCTTTCCCCTGTGTTAATGCAGATACTTCTATTTCACTCATTTTCAAGTCTGGTTACAGTAAAATTCTTCTACAGCTGAAGAATGAAAGTAAGTGTTGTCTGCTTACATTATTTGAGAACCTATTAAACTTCTTCTTGAAAGAAAATGAGACAAACACTGAGGTTAATTATCTATGCACTTGCTATGTATAGACAGGATGTGTTCATATATCCAATAGCCAGGCATATGTAATTGTTCAACTAAGGTATCTGAACTAAGACAACAGTACTCTACACATTTAATACCTAATGAATAACACAATTCTTCCAGTAGAACTAGAAGGAATGGATAAACTCATAGGTATGAAGTAGACAAACGAGGTAACAGAAGGGAAATGAGCAATGATGAGGGTCAACATGACATGCTTGTATGTTGGCTGGAATGAGGGTTTCTATTGGCCAGGAGGCAAAATTATGAGTATAAATGTGAGGTGGAACTGAAATGACATGCCATGGTTCAGAGAGAGAGAGAGAGAGAGAGAGAGAGAGACTATGATATGGTTAGGGCATAGATATTATTGAAGGAACAGGTTGATACTTTTTCCAAAAAAAAAAAACAAACTTTTACTCCCTCTAAAATTCTGTCTTTCACAAAACAGCACTGGTTTATTACCCTGTATTACCATGTAACTTATTTCCCATCTTATTAATAATTACTCCCTCGATATATAGGAAGCTCCTTGTTTTATTTCAGAACATCAGACAGGAGTAATGATCAGGAAAAAATATACTATTAGTTGACATTTGCTGTTAAAAATGACAAGCTAGCAGATCTGGGGCAGAAAGAAGCCTATAAGTTATGTATGATTAAGTGGTTATCAGAAAGTTCTAAAATGGCATTAAAATATCAGACAACTACCAAAACCAAACCAAACCAAAGCAAAGCCAAAAAAAGGAAGCAGTCAATGTGAGATCATCAAAGAGTTGTTCATTGAGAGTCTAAAGAAAAACAAAGGATTTCCATCAGGGCATTCGTTTTAGAAAGGTAGTTAAATGAAGTCACACTGCCTATGTAAATCATTTAATCTTTCTCTTCTCACTTTAAAGGATGAAGACATCAACTTTATACAAGCAAAGATGCTTTGCTAACGATGTTACAAACTCACATTCTCCTGATCCTATAACAAGAGCCTGTGTTTTGTGTGTTTGCCATTGGTTTTTCTCAGACTCAGATTAGCCCTAAGGAAGGGTGGCAAGTATACAGCTCCGCACAGGATCCTGATGGGCGATGTATCTGCACTGTGGTGGCCCCAGAACAAAACCTGTGTTCCCGGGATGCCAAAAGCAGGCAACTTCGCCAACTGCTGGAAAAGGTAGGTGTCTTGGGTCCTCTCTGCATATGTTTATTGAGATCTATCATTCTTCGGGGAAGAAGTATGACAGATCAGGTAGCTGAGTAGATCCCTCTGATTTTTGTCATCTTTTTCAAATAAGTTTTTTTCTCACTTCTTAGGAGAAGTATCTCAAGCTTTCTACCATATTTTTGAACTTCGAGAACTTTTCCTTTTCCTAACCTCCTCTTCTTAAGACAAGGCTTTCTAATTCTTAATAGTCAGTCTTTCCTAAAGGCAAAAAAAAGAAAAATCAACAAGCCTTCTTGTGATACCAGAAATTTATCTCTAACTCAGGATCAGATCACACTTAGCTCTTTGAGCTCATGATTTCAGATACCATTAGTAATCTTGCAAGGAAGTTTAAATAATGGCATGCAATATGCAAGCTCTCTGGGCAGATAATGAATAATTCCAAGTATTTATCATCATTCTCCAAGTCATTCCTTAGAACATTAAGCTCTTCAATTTCATTCAGGACCATTCCCTCTATAATTTACTTAAGCTGAATCCATAACAATCAAATGCAGAATGCCCTTGATGTATTCTCTTCTACAGATAAAAGTCAGCTCATGAGAGGTTATTTATGTTTATTTAGGAGGGGGAAAATCCAGTGACTGGTTCTCTCAATTATCCCATTCAGGCTTGCCCTGTGCTCCAGGCAAGGATGAAAACATGCTGGAATTTTAAATATCAGGAATAAGAAGATAAATTCAATAGAATGGGCTTCAGTGGGTACCGTGTTCATGAATTCACTCCATGCCATATTATTTCCATGAAGATCCAAACATTTATGACATTACATAGGAGCTATTCAACATAAAATCGAGACAGCAAATAACATGAAATCTAGCTTGTTCATATAGACAAGGACATTTTTCACTATTTCAAGCCCAATTCTCATGACTTTCTTTCACCTGCCATAGAAACAACATACATTTCTTTTAGGTACATTGTTTGGAAGTCTGCTGATGATAGAACTTATTGAGAAGTTTGCTTTCATGTTTTTACACAAAGCTTAGTTTGTTTCTCTCTCCCCTGTCTTGGAACTCTTAGTGTCTATTGGCTGAGTCTTCTCAGCTCTTGCATGGTGAGATCGCAGTCTCCCTGCTCCTTCACTATCCATCAGCAGACAAGAACATACTATATATCACTTCAGATCAAATTAATGACTCTAGCTATTTTGTGTCCTAACTGTTAAATGTCATTGATTAATAACTATAATAATCTTAGGGGTATTGTTTTCCAATTAATTATCTTCTTTTTTAAAACTTTAAATATATAGTGGTTAGAAAAAGATTTAATATTTTAAATTCATTTTTGCTTTTCTATTAAATTGTATAACTACTCAAATGACTGACAGTCTGTATCAATCTTGTGTGTGTGTGTGTGTGTGTGTGTGTGTGTGTGTGTGTGTGTGTGTGTGCCAGTCCTAGAACTTAAACTCAGAGCCTGGGTGCTGTCTCTGATTTTCTTTTTGCTCAAGGCTAGCGCTCTACCACTTGAGCCATAGCTGCTCTACTTCTGCCCTTTTTTTTGTAGTTTAGTGGAAATAAAAGTCTCACAGGCTTTTCTGCCTAGTCTGTCTTCAAAGTATAATCTTCAGATTGCACTCTACTGAATGGCTAGGATTACAGGCGTTACTTACTGATACCCAACTAGTACTGAACTTTTCATCATATAACTATCTTTTTCTATGTCAAATATGCAGAGAAACATTTTAGCAGCATAACTTTATCTCATGTGTCATTTTTTTCAGTATAGCATTAGATATAAATAAACATTTCTTCAATAATCAGTTGAAAACATTCAAATAAAGTGTAAATGTCACAGAGTAAATAATCCTCTCTACAGGTCCAAAGTGAAACATATTTCAGAGATATGGTAGAATTAGAAATTAGGAGGGGATGAATAGGGGAAAGAAGGATAAATAGGAGTTTGTTTGAAAATAATCATGGAAATTAATATTCTATTTAATAGTTCATTTGGGTACATACTTTAAAGGGATTCCACAAAATCATGCCTTTAAAAATTCATCAACACCCAAATGAGAGAAAATGTATAAAATTATTAACAAAGTCTAAATCTGAGCATGCAAGGTTTATCAAATTTGCTATAAAGTAATTTTATGATAGAAGAGGACTAATAAATTGTGTGCATACTTTTATAGTGGCCTGAAGGACATAAGCTGTAATGATCAAAAAAAATTTCAAATAAGCATTATTTTTCAGACTGAGTAGTCATTGGTGTCTATTGTTTTATTTATACCCAAGATTTTATAAACAAATAGAAATGAAGCAGCACACTCACCCTTTACCATAAAGCTGAATAAAAGGGAATATTATCAAAAGGAATAATAATGAACTGGTACAGTGTCTCAGGCCTGTAATCCTGAATTCTCAGAGTACTCAAACTGGAATCTGAGAATTGAGGTTCAAAGCCATCCCAGACAGAAAAGTCCATGAGATTCTTCTTTTTTTGGTTGGTTGTTGGGCTTGAACTCTGGGCTTGGGCGCTGTCCCTGTGCTCTTCAGCTCAAGGCAAGCAGTCTACAGCTTGAGCCACAGCGCCACTTCCTCCATGAGATTCTTATCTCCAATTAACCAGTAAAGAAACAAAAGTGAAGGAATAACTCAACGAGTAGAGTGCCAGCCTTGAATGAAAAGCCAATTGAGAGCATGGGACTGTGTTCAAACTCCAGTATGTGGTACATGTATGCACACACACAGAATAATAATAGTAGTCCTCATTATTATTGTTATTATATTATTTTATACCATTCAATCTTTGCAGAAAAGATTAGCTGTTTTTGTAAGTTTGCATAAAAGGAAATTGGAGCTTTATCAGTCTAGGAACTTTCCAATATCACTAGACTTATATCAGATCAATTTTTTTTCTGAGACTTTTGTTTTTTTAAAAAAAACCACCCTGAATGTCATTGGCAGCAACCACACCAATTTAGTAATGTTTTGTTAAGCATTTTTACAAGTGTGTATACCACTAAACATTAGAAAATTAATTCTAAGGTAAGTCAGATCATATGCTATACTATAACTGTTCATCTAAAAAATATTTGGTAGCTAGTTGCTCCTACTTTATTTAGGCCAGTATTTCCTGACTTTTGGACTACTGCATGGACAACAGTCTCTTTATAAATACAAATGAGAAAACCTATATATAACCCTTTCTCACTGAAGATTTCCAAGACACAGTTTAAAAGTTTGTAAAATTCATGGTGAACAAATCTTATTGTTGTTGTTTTCTTTTAAAAAAAATGTACCATTAGTAGGGCTTGAACTCAGGGCATGGGTACTACCCCCTTAGCTTTTATTGCTGATGGCTGGTCTTGTACCATAGCTTTAAGCCTCTGTTCCACTTCTGGCTTTGTAAGTGGTTAATTGGAGTTAATTGTCTCATGGATGTTGCCAGAGCTGGCTGTGAACCACAATTCTCAGACCTCAACCTCCTGAGTAATGAGAAACCCATTCTTTTTAATAAACTCAAGCCTACCCAAATATATTGATCCATAATGCTTTTTCAAAAATAAACTGGCCTTCATTCTAATCAATGCGAGTGACAAAATGTAAGTTAATTTTTGTTCAGAGAGATACTTAGCTTATAGGCAGAGGCACAAAATGATCAGTGAATGCAGACAAGAAGTGGGCAAAATTTTCTAGTGTGTCTCTCTTAGTCAGATTTTTGTCATTGTGACGGAAACCAGATAAAAACTAAGAGGAGAAGGATGTATTTTCGTCTCCCAGTTTCAGAGATTTCCGTCCATAGGCATGTGGCTCCATTATTCCTGGGTCTTGGTGAGCAGAGCATTGTAATGGGAATGTATGGTGGGACAAAGTCCTCTCACCTGGAGGCAGACAAGAGGCAGAGTGCAAAGAAATGGCAAAGAGGGAAGCAGAGGCAGCAAAGTTACAGCTTCTAATCACACACACACACACACAGACACACACACACATACACACACACATCTATGATCTACTTTCTCCCTTTAATACCCACTACCTAAAATTTCTAGAACCCTCCAGAATATCATTTCTTGTTGGGGATTAAGCTCTAAATATATGAGCTTGTAGGATACATTTCACAGTCAAATTCTAACAGAATCCCAGCAGGGGGACATGCATGGAAAACTGAATTTCAGCACAACTGCACACTAAAAGAGGAAACACAAAAGATAGATCACCTTCCTACAAGTCAAACAATTGAGGTCCAGTGCCCTGTGTCATTAGAAAAACGATGCTCCACCTTCAGTAGGAAGCTTCAACCAGCAAGAGAGCTGGCTAAGAGCAACACAGAGCCAGATTCCATTCACTTAGGAAGCTCTCCCTCTAGCCTTCACCCCAGCTGTAGCCTTAATAATTACTCATAATTATCATATATGAACTATCATAATGAATATCAGCAAAAAATTTACTGAATGTATTTTTCCACCAACACAAATTAATTTCAAAATTAGCTTGATATTTTGAGTCAAATGCAAGATAAAACAGAAGCCACTTTAACTCTTTTCAGAATATCATTTCTACTGGGCACCAGTGGCTCACACCTATAATCCTACCTACTCAGGAGGCTGAGATCTGAGGATCGCGGTTCAAAGCTAGCCCGGGCAGGAGAGACCGAGAGACTCCTATCTCCAATTAACCACCAGAAAACTGGAAGTGGCACTGTGGCTCAAGTGGTAGAGTGCTCACTTTGAAGAGCTCAAAAGAAAGCTCCCAAGCCCAGAGTTCAATCCCCACAACCAACAAAAAAGAAAATCATTGCTCACACATCATTTTCTTTATCTAATGTATTTTGCTTTAATTATATTTTATACCATGATAATAGAAACACAAAAATACTTTTTTGAAATTTGTCACCAATCATTATTACTATTGGAAAAGTCCATTTGTTAGACAATGTACGGACACATTTGGTAATAAGCATTGTGTGTTCTTCTAAGTGATGGATATTTGCAATTATTTTCTCCTAGCTAGAATTTTTATTATTTGTTTAAATAGGTTTCAATTCAACCTATCAATTTATGAATACAATGCATCTTGATCAATGTCATCCCTTCCATCATTATCCGCCCCCCATCTTTTCCAAGCCCACACATCTCCTTAAGTTACCAGGTTCCATTTTCACATCTGTACCTTGAATATTGTGACTATTTTTGCCTAGCCTTTCTGTTTCCTTTCTTCTTCCCTCCTTCCCTCAACACACCCACCCCGCCATGATAACACATGTTGCAGTTTCCTGGTATTGATATTGTTTAACTGTAAGTTTGTTGTTCAAAGGAGTTACATCATTTTCTAAATGGACTCTGACTGAGTACAGAGTCTTAGGAGGATATCAGCCATGTTTTATAGTGGATATCTTTACAGACATATGCCATATTTAAATGGGTCATCAATTTCTATTAAACAAATGGCTTTTCTTTGTTCATGCTTAGCCATCAATGAAGTTAGAAAATGATTCTGAAAGCACTGTGTTTATACACAATGGAGTTGCCCAGCTTTCAATGTTGGCTCAGTCATGTTGTACTGCACTAAAAACTTTTTTTTTCACCAAAAGCTTTCTGGATGTAAAATTGATAGTAAAATAAGAAATCTTTGTGGTCATATACTGCTATGCTTTACAAGCAGAAGGGAAGGGCGTTCAGATCCTCCTAAAATATGGAGATCTTAATTACCTATTGTTATTCTTGGAAACCCAAGTCCTTCACAGTGACAGAGCACTTGCTCTGTATCTGGTTCTGTGTAATGGCTTGGAAATAAAAGACATGAATAAAACACATCCCCTAACCACACAGAGATCAGCACATTGAGAGCCACATTCCTGGCACATCCCCAAGAACACATTATACATCCAGTTTTAAGATATGCCCTAAAAAAGACAGGATTCATACAGGGCAGGGATTAGGGATCAAGACAGCCACGGGAAAAGAAAAGGGAAAATTGACTTGTCTGAGAAGAATGAAGGAACTAAGGCAGGTCAAGGTAAAAGTGCTCATTGTCTTTCCTGAATTTGACAATTCTATGGTTGTATCAACCAAAGGTTAAACTTGTGACTACCTGGTGGCAAAAATTGTTCCCGAGTAAATCATTCCTTTGTAATCCACATTTTCTCCAATGAAATGAACATTTTTGGTCCTTTTACTAATTATATAAGGAGCACATGCTCATGAAAAACAGGCAGAACAACATGTTTAAGTGTGAAAAATAAAGCAAAACTCATTGCAATCTCACAACCATTTTTGTACCCACAGTTTAGGATATTCATTTGTGGAAGTAAAAATATTCAGTGGAAATAGATTTATACATATGCTATATCAATTTACATATGCCTTGCTCTTTAGTATTTATTTTCTGTAGCACTTCAGAAATCTAATCAGTCACAACCACCACCATATATACATACATATGTATATTTCAAAGACTTCCATATGTTTCCTCATAATGTTTCCTTATATATTCTCTTTCTTGTTATACGTGTGCATTTATTTGATTTAAAATGAAAGGATCAAATTATGTAAAGATCTTTACATTTGCTTTCCTGTGGAGATCCTGCGTGATAAAGCAGTGCTTTTCAAACTTTAATAGTCTTATGAATCTTTGGGGAATCTTGGCAAAATGAAAATTCCAATTCAGCAGCATAGGGTGAGTCTCACAATTCTGTACTTAGGACAAGCTGCTGGCACATGCTGAAATTGAAAACAACACTGAGTACAGATGTCTATCTAATCTCTAGAAAGCTTCATTGAACTCTATTGGAGCCTTTCTCTTTGTTTTCAGATTTTTGCTGCCACCAAAATTAGAGGTGCTTTTCTTTCTTCCTCTCATTCCCGGATGGTTTCTAGGCCTCTTGCTTCACGCTTGCATTAGCACAGGGCTGACTAAACCTGAGCCGATGCCATCATTTTAACATGTGTTAGTTGCATATCTACCAATGTGGTTGCCAGCACTGTAGATCCACCATGAAATAACTGTACTGAAAGTATTGCCTTCTAATCTATCAGACTCTGTGCTGCCACCCATCATTGCCTAGAGTCCCTGAGCTTTAGGAGGGCAGAAATACAACTTACAGAAGCAACGTATTTTGACCATTTTTTCCCATTTCAGGTATTGCAAATTTGTGAACTGTGGGGATGATAACTCTATTTTTAAACTTGTGTATTAAACTAAATTTATTAACTTCCCATTTACATTTGGCCATTTCTAATGATGCAGTGTCCTTCTTTTAAAGATGTCATGCTGAGGTATAACTTGGTTTTGGTAGATTTGTTATGGGTTTATTGCGGGGAATGCAATCCTGGATCACTGGATCACAACATTAATCCCATTTTTGGTACTAAAGAAGTGATTTCATATGCCCATAAACAGGCAATAACTTACAGCTAATGATTTTATCTAACAGGTTCAGAACATGTCCCAGTCTATTGAAGTCTTAAACTTGAGGACGCAGAGAGATTTCCAATATGTTTTAAAAATGGAAACCCAAATGAAAGGGCTGAAGGCCAAGTTTCGGCAGATTGAAGATGATCGGAAGACACTAATGACCAAACATTTTCAAGTAAGCATGACTTCTACAATCTTGCCACACCAGATGAGACACTGTGTACAATGTACATGGTATAGCACTCAGCTTTCTATAACCCTAACTTGGCCCACACTGGGGATTCAATCATCTCTCCACTACAACTACTCATTAGCTGTTCAGAATGGGGGGAGGATGGGAAGGGATGGGAAGGGGAAACAAAGGAGGAGGCAACAATGCTTGACAAGAAATGTACTCATTATCTTGCCCATGTGATTGTAACCCCTCTGTATGGTATTTTCACAATAATAAAAAAGAATAGCTTTCTAAAAAAAAGTAAAGAACACACAGCATACTGCTATAAAAGGAGCCTCCTTCTCCTAGAACAGATAGAGTTTCTGAATAGATTTTCAGATACTTCAATAGGTAAGACAAGAGGAAATTAATAATTAAATTAACAAAGCTTTCCTACTAATATGGGACAAGTGTAGAGGCTATAAATGATTAAAAGAGACAATAATTCAATTACGAACAGTGTATTAAAGAAACATTGTCATGTAATTTTACAAAAATAAATTCTTTTTAATTTTAAGTGGTTTATTGGCAATTATCTGGAAACTCTGAAAATGGGAAGAATGTTTGAGGTATGCTGTGTGACCTTCTATTAACTGTATAGGACAGAGTCATTAATTTAAAAAGAATCTAGGTCTGATAATGCCACTTTGGCCTATATTAAAAGTAAATAATGTGCTTAAATGATCTGAATAAAGCACATTTTAACATGGCAGAAACTGTTGTAATTTGAAATTTCCTTTTGTGGTCTCAGTAACCTGGATTTGGGGTGTAAGGTGACAGATATTCACATTGAGCCAGTTTCAAAGTTCTATCAGCAGGTCACAGCAGAAGGGAAAGAGGAAATTGACAGGTCAGAAGGCTGAAATGGTCCACAGTATGGTTAAATTGAAGACAGAAGCAAATAAATCCAGACAGTCAACAAATTAGAACAGGTTGGAGATAGATAGGAAAGATACAGTAAATTAAAAGATTATAGGATGTGAGACTATGAATGGAATGAATGGAGAATTCATGAGAAATGGTAAACAGTGAAGATTATAAGGCTAGGGGAAGGGCGTTGATTTTAATCAGGATTGATGGGGACATATACACTGAGCAAAGTAATGCCAAACCTTGTTCTCAGTGTCTAATGATTACACCCTCTTTTCCATGGAAGTTCCTAAGAGGCAAGGGGAATGGAGGGCCTATAGACGCCTAAGCATCATATAAGAGTACAAGGGAAAGGTGCTTAATCTTACTTGGAGAAAGCATGGGATTTAGCATGATTGAAGAAAGCTGGTTTTGCAGGGCACCTGTGGCTCACGCCTGTAATCCTAGCTATTCAGGAGACTGAGATCTGAGGATCACGGTTCAAAGCCAGCCCAGGCAGGAAAGTCCATGAGACTCTTATCTCCAATAAAACACTCAGAAAAGCAGAAGTGGTGCAGTGGCTCAAGTGGTAGAGCACTCACCTTGAGCTGTAGAGCTGAGAGACACCATTCAGGCCCAGAGTTCAAGTCCCAGGACCAACAACAACAACAACAAAGAATAATAAAGAAAGCTTGTTTTGGTGTGACCCTCACACCCATACCAAAAATACTAAATTACAGAGTGGGTCAAGAAAACCAAGACAAGTGCCTATGGTTCATGCCTGTAATCCTAAACTACTCAGAGGTGGCTGAGATCTGAGGACTGTGGTTTGAAGCCTGCCAAGGAAAGGAAAGTACGGGTGACTCTATCCCCAAAATAACCAGCATAAGTCAAGCAGGAGGCATGGCTCAAATAGTAGAGTGACAGCTGTGTACAAGCCAGCCAAGCAAAACAAGCAAACAAACAAAAAATATTCTAACTTAATTTAGTACTCATATTTAAGAGATAGGCGGCAGCAGCAGAACATCATGGGATGCCAAAGTTGAAGTCATCAATAAAGGAGGAAATGTAAGCTGGAAGTTCCCCAAAAGGAACATGCTCATGAGATAGGAACTCAGGTTATTGGTGCAAAGGCACAATGCTGTGAATATTCTACAGAGCACAATAAATACTTGAGGTTGTCCCGCTAGATAGGGTGGCAATTGAGTGAGGGAGCCCAGGTATGATTGGGAATTCTTGGGAGAAGTCCAAAAATGAAAAAATCAATTACAGACAAAACCAAAAGAAACACAGAGAAATAACTTTCCTAGTTGACAAGTTTCATTGCAGGAGCCACAGTACCAATGAGAAGCATTCATTTTTAGACATCACCATGTGACGTAGTGATGTTTCTTAGTCAATGTAATAGATTGGAGCCATATATCAATATAGTCCCAATAGCATTAATTACAATAACAGTAGCTATTTTTTGAACAATATTGGATCAGTAAAGCCTGTTTTTGAACGGTTTAAGTATGTTAAGCAATTAAATACTCACAACAATCATACAAGGTAAGCATTATTTTTTAATCTCCATCAGATAAAGGAACTGATGTGCAAAGATGATGTGTATTTTTCCAGAGTCATATTATCTAGCATGAATATTACATTACCTATGCAAACAGGCCTTTTCTCACAAAAATCAAAATCACAATAATGATTAGATGTTCAACATATGTTTGTTGAATTTCTTTTCTTTTTTGCAGTGTGTGTGTGTGTGTGTGTGTGTGTGTGCATGTGTGTGATGTGTATGTATACTGAGGCTTGAACTCAGGGCCTCAGGATGTTGCTTGGCAATTTCCACATATGGCTGGCACTCAACCATTTGAGCCACACCTCCTCTTCTGATTTTTTTGCTGCTTAACTGGAGATAGGAGGTAAGAGTCTTCATTGGGTTTTCTTCCCAGGATGGCTGTGAGCTGCTAACTGCAGATTTCAGCCTTGTGACTAACTAGGATTACAGGTGCAAGTTTCTAGAACCTAACATTGTGTTTTTGTTTTTGTTTTGTTTTGTGGTCGTTCATGGGGCCTGAACTCTGGGCCTGGGCACTGTCCCTCAGCTCTTCAGCTCAAGGCTAGCGCTCTACCACTTGAGCCACAGCGCCACTTCCTGCTTTTTCTGCTTATGTGGTGCTGAGGAATAGAGCCCAGGGCCTCATGCATGCAAGGCAAGCACTCTACCACTGAGCCACCTTCCCAGCCCATTAATTTTTTTTATTCATTAAGTTCACTATGAATCCATGAATCCACTTTATTTTTGTTGTTGATATTTAGTCTACTTCTGGTCCTGAGATTTGAACTGAAAACTTAAGTCTCTGAGCATTTCTGTTTAAGGCTAGCACTCTACCACTTGAGCCACAGCTCTACTTTTTTGGCTTTTTTGTTAATTAGAAATAAGAGTCTCATGAACTTTCCTGCCTGGCCTGGCTGCAAACCTTGATCCTTGTAGTTCAGCTTGCTGAGTGGCAAGGATGATATGTGTGAGCCACCAGCATCTGGCTGAATTAGTTTTTACTACAGGTACAGAAATGACATGCTTTAGAAAGAGAAATGCAAGATTCCAAAAGCAAGCTTTGTTTTGGAAGTTACCTTTACAAAATCCTCTTCTGCTGCACATTTTTCATCTTACACAAATACTAAGGTATCTTCCCCCTTACAATTCTTCAGATAAAATGTTTGAGCTAGCCATCATACTTGAGACTATCATTTCTGTAAGAAAAGATGGTTTGTGAAGATTCCAGCTACCATCAGGGTAGCACAGCAGAAAGTGAGACTCGGGAAGGGATTCAAAAACATGGATCTGTGCTATTATACTTTAATCTTTTATGTATTTGAGTCACATCTTGGTTGGGCTACTATTACTTCCTAACAGTTTCTGGAATATCAAAGTTGATTGTTGAAAAATGTAGTTATGAATTTATGAGAAGTAAAAAGATTTTAATGTAGCAAGGATGAATGCTATCAAACTTTTGACACAAACGTATCATTTAAAAGAGGCCCAGAGGTAGGATATAAAAACCTTCATTGTAACAGCGGTTATAATATGCAGCAAATATTACCAACAGATCTCTTATATTAAAATCCTAATGAAACAATTGTGCCTCCCATTAGGGGTACTACAAGATGTTCAAACTAATAAGTTCATTTCGAAATGAACAACCCTCTGCAATTTTGCCTTTAGAGTGTGAGAGTTATGAATCTTTCTCATTACCAAGATTCTTTATCCTCCCACGCAATATGCACTTGTAGATACATTCGAAGATTTCTGAATTTATACCACAAATGGAAATTTCCCCATAAGAAATGCAAGCTAATAAATCAGGGTAGCCATGGGATCTCCTGCTATTTTAATGCATTTATGGTAATAACATCTTCTCAATGTAATTTTCAAATGCAATTTTAGCTCCTTTAAATTAGTGTCGAGTACGGTTTCTGACAGTATCTATGGATTACACTCACATGATCATAAGTATGGTTAACTCCATAAATAGTATCACCGGCAATGAATTCACAATGAATCAAACTCCTGAAATATTGTTACTGATCACAGCTACTAAGTTCAAGAGAAATACATTCCAGGTAAAATTGAAGTTTGACCTTAATCCTTTAATGGCATGGGATACAGAGCACTGCTTTGTCCACATCTATTTTTCTTGTTCACTGGACAAAAAAAATTCAATATTTACTTTTCAAGCAACTGAGCATGGCTTGTTTGTTACATAAACCACAGCATCTCTGTCTCTTAAAGAGTTAATTCACTACATGGTTAAACCATTCTGCCTTACATAATGACCTCTAAATTATCTATGCCAAGACAAATGGAGTCAGAGTAGAGGCAATAATTCAAAATGGTAAATAGCAACATACATTTATTTGAGCTTTGGGAAGCTTTGCGTGATTTATTATGTTTGCTGAACTTACTTCCCAAATGAAGTTGTGCCAAGTTGGATATTAAAAAGAGCTCGAGATACTTGAACATAGGAAGGACAAAGGTATGAGTGGCCAGACTAGAAGGCCAAGTATGAGGACAGAGTTTATGCAGAATCCCAAATTTCCCATATGTAGTTCAAGAACACAAAGATTCGATATATGGATAATTAATCTTAATTAAATAGTCATAGATTTTACTTACCTTTACTAACTTGATTCAATACACAATTAGAGAATGGGATCCAGTTTCTCTTTTCTAACTAGATGATGCATTGTTCATTTTATGCAATGCTGACAGAATGTGAGATAATGTAAAAGCCCATAATTGCAGCGACAGCGAGGTATTCTAATTATGATAAAGATCAATTGGTTTCATAGAAAACCATGTAACCATTGAAAGAGAAGCTGTTTTATGGAAAAGGTAGGCTACGTGGAGCGATTACTAATTTCAATAAAAAAATCAATGAGGAATTTCGGGATTTGGGAGTAATACACATCATCACACAAATGAGCTGGTGTGTTTTAAAATGACTCTCGCCTGCTTTACACAGGAATTGAAAGAGAAGATGGACGAACTCCTGCCCTTGATCCCTGTGCTAGAACAGTACAAAACAGATGCCAAGCTGATCACCCAGTTCAAGGACGAAATCCGGAATCTTTCTGCGGTCCTCACTGGGATCCAGGAAGAGATTGGGGCTTATGACTACGAGGAACTGCACCAAAGGGTGCTCAGCTTGGAAACCAGACTGCGGGACTGCATGAAAAAGCTAAGTGAGTCCAACACTCTCTAAGCCATGGTTTGAAGTAGGTTCAATGATAGCTGTGTCATTACTGGTCAGAAAGTAGCTCGTTAGAGGAACGCCAGTAGTGCCTACTTTAAGTGTGTTGTGTGCCTTAGTGATTACTCAGGAATACTTGATGAAGACATTTTAGATCACCATGTCACCATTTGGTGGTTTGAAATAAGTAGCCTCAAAAATACACCCAATTTTATTGGCTGAATGAATAGAAATAAGTTGCAGGGAATTTTATAATATGTGATGACAATCAATATTTGACTAGGGGAAGAGAGGAAGATGTGGATAGATGAAAGCTAACCTGGAGTGAAGTGGAAAACAGCATGATTTAAACAAACCAAACAACTCAATTACTCTACAGAATTGCCATCTAATGCTTTAGTCTACTAAAAAAGCAAAAACAAAAATCCAATGAGGAAATACCTATTTAAATATAGGTATTTCTCCGTGAGGACAAAGAAACAGATTCTAGCTGTGGCCTGCTAAACCACCTGCTTCCATCTGGCTAGCATTTCTAAGTCTTCTCTTACATCCATGAACTAACTACTCAATTCAAATCAACATGGGACTAGTCTACAACTTGAACATCATTATTAGATGACGGTAGGTGGCCATGAATTGAAGAAGGAGGGAATGTAACATAGGGTCAGTTGTTGACATGGTTAACAGGGTAAGAAGGTAAACTCAATAATCCATATTCTTTCAAGGTACAAACATACTTCTCTGGATTAAGAAATGAACAGGCAAAGTAATAAAATATGAAAAATAATTAACTTCTAGCATAGAAAAGTCCATGGCTAATTATATTTCTATATAATTATATTTCTAATTTTGTTTCTAATAAAATCTGAACATTTGCAAGAACGTGTTAAAGTATAGTCACCTATGTGTTCTGAATGATGAATGAAAAACCAAATGACAAAGCCCTGCATTCAGTCATCAGAATCTCAACAAGTGTGGGGATTGAAATATTGTGTATGAGTGTGTGAAATACTGTGGTGTACCCCTTTGCACAAATTGCATACCCTAAAAGATTACATGTCATGTCGATAAAATAGGTCCTGGGAATGAGTACCAGTGGGAGGAATGGGAGTAAATGAAAAGGGTGAAGGAGGGTAAATATAGTTAAAATACATGATATTCACATGTGAAAATGGGACAATGAAGCTTGTTGAGATTGATTTGGAGATTTGGAGGGCAGGTGATGGAGGAGATAAATCTGATCAAGGAATTGTGTGTGTATACCTGGACATGTCAAAAGGGAACTTCTTTGTCTACCTAGTTGATGCTAATAAAAAATTCAGGGTGGGAGGTAGAAGAGATTTTTAAAAATGGGTATCGTTATATGAGAGACTCTGCTATAGTTACCATAGATTTTCTAACAGAATCCAGCAAAAATTAATGAGAAAAATAGTAGCTAAACTCAAAGGCTAATTTCTCATTAGCCAAGATCTACACATGTTCTTCTGTAATTGGTCAACCATCAACTATCTAGTCCCTGCTCCTCTCCAGCCCTTCCAGCATGGGCCTTGCTACTTCTCTAGTCTGCCCAGGCCCTTGTGCCTTCTGCTTGCTTCTCACTGGGTCATTGTGAGCCATCATGGGTTCCTGCTCCTGAAGTACCTTCACCCAAAGACCCGTTCACTCTCAGCATACTTTCACCTACCACACATAGTACATGCTGCTTTCTTTAGGCCTTAGTTTCAATGTTGTGTTTTGCCAGATTCCTTTATTGGCTTCTACATCCCTGCAAAATGCCCCCCCAAAACACTGATCGCTCACGAAAAATGAGGTATTTGTATCTGTCATCAGAATTTCACGCACAGTTGAATATCTTTGCCCTGCCAGTGGTCCATGAAGACCAGAATAATTCTGTTTACTGTTAGTTGCTCTGTATCCAAATGCCTAAAACACTTACTGGCAAAGAAGTTATTCAAACATATTTGTTGAATTAATTAATTATTTAGGTAGCCATAGGAATGATTGCTAAACCTATTCACAGAATATTAGCTCTTTCAAACCCCAAAGGATGATCTGTTTTGCTTGTTAAGATAAAGGGAGACTAACCAGTTATGATGTCTCATGCTGCAATGCCAGTTACTTAGGAGGTGAAAATAATGAATACTGTAGTTCTAGGACATTCTTCCCCTAACCCTCCCTAGCAAAACATTATTGAAGCACCTCATCTCAACAAACAAGACTATTGTGGTGATACTCACCTGTAATCTAAGTTATGAGAGATGTAAATAGGAGGATGATAGTCTGAGGCCAGTCTGAGGCAAAAAATGGGAGACCCTCATTGAAAATAACTAAAATAGAAAAGGTCTGGGGTTGTGGCTCAAGTGGTACACAAGTGGTACATGACTTGCACAGCAAGTACAGAAACAAACAAAACAAACTTAGGTATCCTAGGGCCATCTTGGAATACAAGCTTTGAAGCAGAGACAGTATGATAGCGATTCAAAAACTCCAAAGACCATTCCTCTTAGCCAGTTAATATTTATGCTAAAATAGCATAGGTTGATTAATATTAAGCAGAAAAAAAAGTTATCGAACCTAAATAGCCTATATACCTATGGAGTATCAGCCATATTGTATTTGATTCTATTTTTAAAAAAATTTACTGTAAAGGTGATGCACAGAGGAGTTATAGTTACATAAATAAGGTAATGAATACATTTCTTTTTGAACAGTGTTGCCCTCTCCCTCATTTTCTCCCATCCCCATTCTCTACCCCCCCCAAGTTGTAAAGTTCATTTCCATCATAGTGTTTAGTGAGTATCATTGTTGCATTGGTTCACCCTTTGTCCCACTGTTTCCATATTTCCCCTTCCATTTCCCAAATCAGATAAACTTATATATAAGACAAAAGGCACAGAGATTTAAAAAATGACCTATTTTTTAAAACTGAGAAATAAGTCCCAGGTAGTACTCATTACCAGATTATGTCTTAATTAAGTGGTTCACGCCTGTAATCCTAATTATTCGGGAGGGTGACAACTGAGAATCATGGTTGAAAGACAGCCCTGTGAGGCTCTAATTGTCAATTAATCACTCAAAACCCAGAAGTGGTGCTGTGGTTCAAGTGGTAGAGCACTAGCCTTAAGCACAAAGAAGCTCAAGCACAGTGCCTGAGTTCAGGGGCCACAACTCTCTCTCTCTTTCTCTCTTTCTCTCTCTCTCTCTCTCTCTCTCTTTTTCACACACACACACACACACGATAAAAAAATATTGAACTGCAATTATATAGCGTTCAAATTACTTCAGGAATTACAAAGAAGTATCCAACTGCTTGCTTTTGGAGGGGAAGTTGTATGATTTGAATCCAGAGCTTCATACATGCTAGACAGATGCTCTATTACCTGAGCAGCCAGGTTTCCAGTCCTTTTGGCTTTTATTACATTTTAGGTGGGTCTTGCTATTCTTACCCAAGCCAGCCTGAGTTGCTAGCTCACTTCCTGCTGGGAAGCTGGGATGAGAGGTGTACACCATTACACCTGGCTTATTTGTTGAGGTGGGGGGGGTTCCACCAACTTTTACTCAGGGTGATCTTAAACTGTGATCATTCCCCATGTCTATTTCTTGAGTAGCTAGAATTCCAGATGTGAGCCACTGTGCCAGGCTTAAAATGTGTATTTTATTATCTCATAAAATATCTGTTGTTTGTCCTATAGGAGATTTGTGTAGAGCTTGTGTGGAGCTTTGACTTTCTTTGTGAAAGAAAGTTAAAGATGTTAAAGATGAACCATTCCCTATCTTGAGAGTCAATTTGGTCTTTCATTCCCAGTATCTCATCATAAACCCAGACACAAAACATCAGCTAAGGATTGATGGGTCTTCTGGAACAAGGACAGTGCTAGCTAATTACCCCTAGCATATTGAACAATCTTAATAGGGAAAACGTATTAATGAAACTTACTTCCATGTAGTCTCAGTCTACTGAGCCAGAAGCATCTCTGCTATGAATGGATAAGTCTGCATACCTCTGTGCTCCATCACACGCAGCTTCCTTTCAAAATCCACATTCCCCTCCCTATACTCACCTGAAGATTATATTTGAAACAAAGAAGGAGAATAGGTGGACGACAAAAATCCTGCCTTTTGGTTCTTACTGATATTACAGCAATGGCATCTGTAAGACTTGATCCTGAATGTATTTATCATCCTAGGCCATTTTTATCCTTTCTTCATGAATCATAAGTTGCTTTTGTTTTTATTTTGTTTTGGTTTGATTTTGTGCTAGTAATGGGTTTGAACTGAAGGCTTTGCACTCTCCCTTAGCTTTGTGCTGGCACTCTAGTACTAGAGCCATAGTTCCAATTTGGGCTATTTTCTGGTTAATTAGAATTAAAAATCTCATGGAATTTTCTTCACAAACTGTCTTCAAACCTCAATCCTCAGATCTCAGTCTCCTGAGAAGCTAGGATTACAGGCATGAGTCACTGGTACTTGACTAGACCCCAGTTTTGAAAGAATATGACAAATTTCATTGATTAATATTTATTTTCTTTTATTATTTTATGTTGATGTATTTATTTATTTATCTTGTAGTACTGGGCATTGAAACCCCCCGGGCTTCATATATGCTGATTTTAATTACTCTAAAACATATGTTCTAGCAGTGAATGTAATGTAAATATCAGTTAAGAACAAATTGGAATTCATCTTTCCTATTTAATGAGATGGCTATTCGTTGAGTTAGTTGGGATGTCCCCATAAAATATTGAAACTATTATTAATTTCTCAGTGTTTGTGAGGAACTGTCTCCAGGAGTCTCACAGATGTTCAGATCTGCAGGTGTTTACACCTCTGTAACAACGTGAATAGTGTCTACACATAACCTACACACACCTTCCCATACATAATAACCTCTAGATCACTTACAAGACCTAACATACCACAAAGGTTACATACCGAGTTATTACACTATGTTGTTTGATTCCAGATAAATAATCTGTGCCTGTTCAGTATGGA